TAAAGATTTAACTTGAAATTAATGCAGATAATTACCGAGAGAATTATATTTTGTAGCGTAGTTTACGTGAGATGAGATCACTTTGGGTCACGTGATACGAACCAGCGAATCAGGATGTTGAACCACGAAAGCATAGTAAATTCTTAAATTTGTCTTTTTACAAATTTATTGTCTTTTTATTGCCTTTTTACAAAATTTTAAGTCGTATTAATATGTTTATGCCTTCAAAATAAAAAAAATTTAGTTCTAAGAATATTTTATGCGTATACTGTATGCTGTAAGTCTGCTTGGCGAGATTTGCGCCGGCGAAACGGAAAAGTACCTAATATTTATATAAGCATTCTCTTAAAGTAATGCTACGCTTTTGAATTAAATCATGAAATGCATAAAGATGTAAATATTTTATAAAATTACATTCCCTTAATAATATACATTACAAGTACCGTAATCGTTTCTTATAAACTTAAAAATCGTTAGTATAAACTTGGCACATTTATCACATATTTTCTGCTAATATCATATCAGAAGCATGATATACTAAACTATAGCAGTACCTCAAAAATGATACTAATTAAGTTTGAAAGTCTCTTCCTTCGGGAAAGATATGCTTTATAAGCGCTATGTATAATGTTTCTTGTCACACAGGGAATACTTAAAATAAAATATATACAAGATTAGATTGAAGGTTGATAACAGATTAAAGAAGAATACAAAAGATAATGTCTGTGGAAATTTCTAAAAGGAAGTCTTGATTTTCTCAGTAATTGTGACACACACACAGAAAAGGTTTGAATTGACTTTTGCACTTTAAAATTGCACTGAGAGACAAAGGATTTTTCTGCATTCTATAAAGGACTCTTGACTTGATTTCAAAAGGATCTGTGGGCTGAATTTAGTTTGGTTGACTTTTTATGTATTACGCTTCCTCTGTACACTTCTTAAGTTGGCTACCAACTTCTTATCTTCTTAAAAATGCTTGTTATTTGTGTTAAATTTCTCAATTAAATAACATTGCAATCAACTCTTCAATAGATAAATTAAAGCGATTACCCATACAACATAGTAATTCCACCATGCATTGTAAACACATTTTGGCAATTTTTAGTGTTAGTGTACATGAGTTTCATTTAACAGATATTATTTTAGATTATCCGATTGTCAAAGTTTTTTTTTTCTTTAAAAACAAATTCAACCATTTTTTTTAAAACTTGATTTCTGATGATTGCACACGATTTCTGATGATATTATTTTTAATGCATTTAAAATCACAGTAAAGAAATATATGCATCGGGAACTTAAAAATAAATTACATTATAAAGGAAGGGCTCAAATAAGATGCACACGGCGATTTTAAATCTGGCACTTTGAATGCCAATTAAAAATTTTCTAATATATTAATAGTTTTCTTAGAATGTAGTGGAAAGTATCTCTATTATACAGTCATGTCCAAAATAAGGTTTACATGCATGAAATCATGAATTGCTCAAAAACTGTCATTTATAATTTTATAAACTGTTGTGGAAGGATATTTAATATCATAACACATAAATGCAAGGGTGTGTGTTGGTGTATTTAATTATGGCAAAGCACACGAGGGCTATCTGCCTAAGGGAAGGGATGCCTTCGTGGAGGACTTTTTAAGGGAAACTGGCTCGTATACACGCATAAATGCAAGGGAAAAATATGATAATATAAAGTTGTGGCTTGAAACACTAAAATCGGTAATAATATATTACTAGGAGATTTTAGAAAAATATAACTGACGAAAAAATTAAGGCCTATTGATGTATGAATTAAATATGAAGTGTGCACTTATATCACTTCGTGTTTTCATGCTGACAATACTGTTTTTAACGCCAAAATGGGAAATTAAGTTCTACTCCTCCAGCAACGCGGTCTTCAGGGCATTTACGTGTCTTGAAGAAAGATGTCTTCATGCAACTACTTTTCCAAGGGATTCAGTCTCTCAAGTTTTCTTATCGTGTTAATTTCAGGATATTTCGCTGGCCACAATATTTGCTCAATGTCTTTCTTTCTTTTTGCCATAGACAGAACAGCTGGCGCAGTGGGTTAGGTGCACTTCAGCCTGTTGGATACTGCCGATGGAATTAATAAAAGAGCTTATTACTGTAAGTATTGAGACTAGGGGGAAAATGTTGACGACCACTTATATTGAGCACTGCAAGGCTGAAGTTGTTTGAAGGAGGTACTCTTATTGTCAAGTACAATGTGTTCATATTTGTAATGCGTACTGATAGTTATATAATTAAAATACATATAAGATACATATAAAAACATTTTAAATGTATCAAAAATTAATGCTGTAGATGTTACATTACCGAGAGCTTAGACACAGGTACAGATTTAAAGATGAAATGTGAAAAAATATATTAAATGAGTATTGAATTAATCATAATACTAAACTGTATTAAAAACGTTAGGTCAATTATATATGTTCAGAGCGGGCTGTTTACGGCACGGTGTCGTAGGAAAATAGTAGGGAAGTCACTCCAAGCTGTCAGAAGTACTCTTGGCAATGTTAATACAGTCTCTAATGCGACTGAGCGCATATTTATTCTTATTTGTATTCTTGACCCCTATCGACATATTGGTTACAGCTGGTTTTTTAGATTGCGAATTCGCTGTGTGCTTTCAGTCATACAGATAGCGATCTGAGTCACCAGTACTGCCACAAATGTATTGGTCGCTGTCTCTTAGGCCAAATCTGTGGATATAGAACATATATGGGCTATGCGCTGTCAGATACTGTGTATGTTACTAAGAGCCGCTACTTTAAATTCTACTTCACTTTCAGATAAAAATTATGCAATCCTCAGCCTATGGTGCTCGAGTCTCCGTAGTTCTGCCATTGTTCCGTTGATTCACATTTTACAGTGGTTTTCAGATATGCGTTCGGAAGTTGCTCAGTGTCTTCGCTTTCAAGGAATTCGTCAATGAGATTTATTCGAAGTGGACGAGCATTACCGTTCTTAAATAAAAGGTCAGATCAATATACAGCGCTGAAAAATTTGACATAAAATTTTAAGACCTCACTCTGATATCTCTGGTTGGTCGCAGATCCCCTGTTGGAAATGCTCAGAGACGTGCGTCCATAGATCATTAGTCGTGGATATCACATCTGCATTACCAAACCGTTACGTTCCATAATGTTCTATTGAAGATTTCACATTCCTGACTTCCTTCAAAAGTAAACTCATTTACAATCGGATGTTAAACTAAACCTCGACTCATCAGTAAAAAAAACATAGGACCATTGTTTTTCATTCCAGTTCATTTGTACTTTGCAGAAATTAAAGCGATCCTTTTTGTTGTGAAGATAGTGAAATAAATACCTTTGGTTTTTCTGGAATAAAGACCTTTTTCATTAATCCTTCTGTATAGAGTCTGCCGTGATATACAGCAGCTCCAGTGGAATCTACAATCTCTGAAACAACATAATTCTGAATCTGTTTCCATAGTGTACAGACTAAACGTTTTACAAGTAAAATATTCACAGATTTCACTACTTCAGAGATTGACTGTCTTGCTTCTAAATGGCCGATCATTCGCCACTTCACAAATTCTTCCAAATGGTATTTCGGAGTTATAACAAACCACCTTGAGTCCTTGTGCATTGAAATCAAATACTCTGTTGCAGAAATTTAATCACATATTCACTTTGGAAAGCGCTTGATTCAATGTCAGATGGCATAGAACTTTGATTTGCGTATTAAAAACTGTTTGATTCCTTATGCATCTTAAAGGCTGTTGATTAGATAATGCTAATTAGGCTTGTCTATTCCCCATTCCTTGCAAAAATGGATTACATCGATTGGATTTTTCATTGGATATCAATATTTTGGGTATGTAAAGATAAATTTTGATATGAGTCCATGGTATCAAATAATATATAACCCTGTGTTAATTTAGAGGTGTATTATATTCTGCTAAAGCAATGTCACCTAGGGTCACCAAATTTTGAGCATGCATAGTCCTTCACCGAAATAGGTGCAGCTTGAAACCAAAAATTTAATTTTTATCCTGGTTTCTATTTATTTCATACTCTCTGTGAATTTAATGCAGTTTTTAATTACGAACTTGACTATTTAAGAGCAAAATGTTGCTACTCGGCAAACCGTAAGATATTTTTTTTCAAATTAATAAAAAAAAACCGAAATTTAAAAGAAATGTTTTACCACTCGACAACGTGTAAGATTTTTGTTTTTCGAATTTAATCAAAGAGCTCAGAAATATAATGAAATCTGTTAACATGTAATGTATTTATCTTAACGTTTAAGTGGGTTGCCATTCTCCAAAGCTTAATTTGTTCACTTTTTCTTTCACATTTAATCTGCCTAATATTGATTAAAAAATTTAGTTATTTAGACGCAGTTCTTCATCTTTATTATTTAGTAGCTGAATCCCTGAGATTACACAAGCTGGACTCATCAAAATAATTAAAGATATTTTCATTTGTATAATAAGTATTTTAGGCAAGAGTTTTTTTTAATATAATCTGTTGATATTTTTTATGCATCCTTATTTTGTAATTTATGTTTCTTCAAATTAATCTTTCAGGGCAGCACGAATTTTAATTGATGTAGTCCATCAAATGCCGTAATAGCTATTTATCATTAGGGCATTTGATGGACTATGTCAGAATGCCGTAATGATAAATAGCTATTACGGCATTTGATGGACTGAACTGATCAACTCCGTTTAATCTCTGTCCTATCCCAGGAATGACCTATTACAGAGATTTCTTAGTTCCCTATTTTGAAACCAAATTATATTGCGATCACTTGCTTTAGTTTACTTTAGAATAAGGAACAAATAAAAATAAAATATATGAGAAAATTTTATGTTTGAGCCATTTTGGGCTTACAGTTTAGTTTCTATTTAGTTTTCACAGATTCATTAAGTTTTAAACTACTGTATTGATTTTAAATAGCATTTAGAATTTTGAAATCTAAATTTTATAATATTTTTATAAATTGCAGTCAGGCCTCTTGATGTCCGGATTATCAATGCTCAACCCCATTTTTCTACGGGAAAAATGGTGACCTTGGAGTGCGAATCTACTGGTTCCAGGCCAAGGGCTATCATGACATGGTGGAAAGGATCTCAAAAGATTCAGTCTGGAAATGAAATCATTTCAGACAATGGGAATCTCACCCTAAGTACTTTGTCTTTTGTGCCAACACCTGAGGACCATGCGAAAAAGTTCACCTGCACTGCCGAAAACCCATCCCTTCCCAACAGTCTGATTGAAGATTCGAGAACAATCACAGTACACTGTGAGTTTTTCTTTTATCTTATTTTTGTTATAAGCATAATAATCTCACTGAAATAAAACATCAATTAATAATTTAGAAATAATGCCTTGTGATAAAACTTCACAGCACTGAATTCGGTTAAGATTTTTTACACAGTCGAAGAATATTACTTTTGATATAAAACACCTTATGAAGAGAAACAATTCCGTTACAAAATATTTTCTTACCACACCGTTCTAATATAAATAACGTAAACATATTATAAACAAAATATAAAGTAAACATATTATAAACATAACAATTATTCGATTTTTAAAAGCCTATCAAATATTATGAAATACATATGGTGAAACATCCAACATTTTATTTCAGCTATTTTATGATAGAATCGGGAATTGTTTGCATTGGCTTCTCTAACCCCCTTCCAATATCGAATTTTTTTTTATTTAACAGCTTGAGATATACTTAAGTATTTTCCTGCTATACCTTCCAAAACATTAAAATAATTATTAAGTTCAGATTATGATTATTATACATGCATGCATATTTCAAAAATATGTATCTTTGAATATTTGAAAACTTTATCAAATACGAAGCATTCTTTGCGAATACAAGAAAACCAAAATTGTACTTTATCTTAGTATTGCGCTCGTAGCATTTATTTTTGATTTTAGTCGCATTTTTTTCACATATGCATATTGTAATTGGTAAAATTATTGAATCTAATTATCCTCTCCTCAAATTTTTATTTACGACTTTTCTTGTATTCCCTTAAACGTTTAATATACATAGAAAAAATTCAAAAATATCTACATTTCAACTGCTGAAAGTTCGGATGCCTTTTATAAAAATCACGTGTTGTTTAAAACTTAAATATAATGTATTACTACGAGTATTTAATTATTTTGACACCTTTAAAGCCTGTTTATTAAGAAAGTGTAAAAGGTTTCCTTGGGTTATGAAAAGACAGAGCGGAAATTGTATATGAACATGCTGACTATTAAAAATTGTTACTTTTTTAAAACATCTACCAAACTGAGAACGTTTATTACTTTTATACTATATAAATACTGAAGTGAAAAATATTGCCTATGCTGACATATTTCAAGGAATACTGTGATTATAAAAATACTTAAAAGTTTTACCAAGCCACCATATTAATTCCATGATCTACAGTTTTAAAAGTAAATGAGCTGGTACTGGGGAATATGAAAACAGTTTTAACATACTTTGTTTTCTCACAAGATGTTCTGAAACGGTCTGTCATTCAAGCTTTTAAAGCAACCGAAATACTCCATTCTAGACTGATGTGGAATTGTTGCCTATATGTATAAAAAAATCAAATTTAAGGCGTTTTATAAAGTACTGAATTTTAGTAGTGACTAATTACTTCCAATTACAATTTTTGTTATATATAAAAAAAGCTCTTTCTAAACTTATTCTTATGTAATGAAAACTTATTAAAAAGCTGTTAGAAAATATTTTTTACAAGGTCAAGTAATTTTCTTAGAAGTTATATGGAAAAAAAAATCTTTTAAAAAGAAGGAAAGTAAAGTAATTTACAGGAGCAAGTGAAGAGTCATTCAGCTTTACTGATGACATTTTGAAACGTAAAATTAGGCAAAGCAACAACCATGTGTTTTTTTCTTATAGTTTAGACAAGACTCGAGGGCTAACAGAAGCAAGTTCCTTTTTATCAGTAGCAAAGAAATCAACGACGGAGGAATATTGGAACTTTGGAATTATACTGGTGAATTTTGGGTTCGCACAGTTTCTTTACGCATATGGGCACCTAAAATAACATCTAGCCAAAGGTTCTCTTGGTAGAAGAGATGCTGGCAGGCGAATACAAGCCGGAGACCATCAGATCCATTCCCTGAACAGTCCAAGAATGAAAACTGGGACAGTGCAAGCCAAAGTCAACTTTCACCTAAGAGATATATAACAGCTTTCCAACAACAGACTGTATTGACCAGGATAAATTCGATCTCTGTTTAAATGAAGAAGATAAGTAACTGAAAGGAAGAAGAAGAGTTATAAAAGATTCAGAATCGATTTGAAAACTCCTTTTACCTGATGCCACTTAAAATTAATGTCAATAGATAGTATGATATACTTTAATATATCAAGTAATATTTTGCCATTTACAGACTGTTTACTGTGACTATCTCAGTTAAAAAATTATCTGTATATTTTAATGATTTGGATGGAATTATTTTACTTATGCATAAATTTTAACTTGACATTTTAATTACAGCTTAATAAAGGAAAGCAGAATTTTTTATACAGCAAATCAGATAGTATGTCATCAAAAAGAAGGTTTCCCACATATTCTAATGAATAAATAATAAAAGCATTTGAAAACAAATCTTGCTGCTCAACAATTCATCAACTATTTAACTCACTGTATAGCTCTTTTGACGCTGTACAGAATATCGTATACTTTCTTATAATACTGATTTCAAAACCATCGTACGAATTGAAACATTTTAATACTATTAATTGTGCTTATGATAGAAAAGCAGTAAAAATGCTAGCAAAACCTTTGCTTCTAAAATTTTTATTTAAATTCACTTCAGATTTCTAACATTATGTTAGACTGACGTGACAGCACGTCATTCATGAAAAAACGGAAAAGCAAAATTCTTTTCAATACTTAGGTATATGTCGATATCCACGAGTATACCACCACCAGAGGAAAACCATATTTTTGACGTCCGTAGATCGATTAAACAAGATTTTTTTTTATTTCTGGCGGTCTATCAACATATTTCAAAATCGTATCAGACTGTTGTTCTCTTCAGCTTATCTCAGTTTCGGCAATTTTTAACATAATATATTCTTTTTGCTAATTTTGTTATTAAAATTTCATGCCGTGAACATACTATTTGGGATTTTTTTCGAAAAATCACATTGTAGGAAATAATTAACTGCTTCTACGCGACTTCTTGGCAAATCTAACAAACGCATGATGGAAAACACAGTAAATATTAACATCGGGCTGGATATTCATTTTCCGGAGCATTTTTCTTCGGAAAAGATTACCAAAAAATGAGGCACTGCAGATATGCTGTTACACTAATTTGACTGAGGTAAATTTTGAAATGCAAGAAAATGAGGCATTCTTATCCTCTTTCCGTCCATCAGAAAATAAAAAAATACAAATTTAAAATTTAAAAAAAGGAATCCCATCCTTCAAAAGTATCAGTACAAATATCTAGGATTTGTTGCAACACTCCTTCGAAAGCAAAACTATGAATGATATAATTGACAGTATATCGGAGGTTGCGTCTAATACACAAGTATATATTGTTTTTATAATTTGAAATACATTGCAAGATATTTTTATAATCTGAAAAAATTATTTATTTACTGCCAGTGGGTCTGACTCTAATCACGTTAATTTCTAGCAATGCTGATGAATAAAATGAATCGTCTAACACATTCCACCCATTACCAGAGGCAAAATGTTCCAAAATAATGTTCAAAAGCTATAATAAGTGGTAATTATATAAGGGACTTATATAGCATTAATATATAAAATATTTCGAATAAATGAAACATACGTATATATAGGCAATTTGCAGCGTATTTCTAGAGTAAATCTAGAGTGAAGTTCTCTATATTTTAACTTCACAATAAATTCACAAACAGACTCATTTTAAATGCATCCCATCAAAAAGCTTACAACTCCTAAGAAAGAATATTTTCTTCCATATAAAATAATACAAAAGTGTCTTCCTTAGCTGGGCAAGAATTTCTGGTCGTTGTTAAATCTAGAATTGTAACAGTTCTGACAAATGCATTCCAATTTCATTTATTATAATTTTGTAAGCTCATTAATTGCCACTAAGCAGTTAATGTATTAATTCAGAATTCCTGAATTTCTGATAAAGGCAATGAACGCCCGAATTATATTTTATTTTGTCAAATACATATTAAGTAAATTTCATACAAACTGTCGCAACTTAATTAATGAGATCCTTGTTGCTTTTATGATTAAGATGTATTAAAATATATTACATTTCTTTAAGTACAATGAAAGTTTTACACCTTTTTACAAATGGAATACGCTTGTTTGAGAATATCATTCGCTTTAAAATAATTTGATCTTAGCTCTCTGATTGCATCATCTGAAAGGAATTAAAACCGCAAATGGATATGTAAGGCATAAGTTATGATTATCTTCAGAAGGCATTTTAAATTCGTATTAGGAGCAAGTAAGAATAAAATTTTTAATTCATATATATAGAAAACCTATTTTAAAAAATGCAAACTGCATAGGGTATTATCAATTTAATGTCATTTTCAATATCTCTACATTTAGGAAAAGAAGGTATTAATGATTTCTGAACAAAGATATATAGTTAAACTGAAGTAATAAGCATCAGATTAATTTATAATAGATTTTAAATATCCATAAAATACCTAAATTTCAATAAGATAACGAGTATTTACAAGAAAAGGCATTCTTATAAATTATATATTTACATTTTTTCAGAATATATAGTTTTCAAAGATTGATAAATGTTAAGTTATTTCTGATAAGCAAAGGAATTATTGTAATATTGCATATATACATATATTATATAATAATACAAATACATGAGATGTTATCCAAAATTGTACATAAAAAATACACCGAAATGTGTTTGTATCACTCAACATAGGTTAACTGAAGAAAAATCGCTAAATTCACCTTCGCATGGTGGTAAGGGAGATGTCTACACAGCATTATGTCCAAGTACAAATGGTATTTAAAATAATGGAGAGCCGAAAGTCCTCTTGTGAGTTTGTAGAGTCATCAGGATATTTTTAGAGGCAAAAAAGATTGAAAAATAGCTAACGCCTTCGCTGGGAATCGAACCAAGGAACTTTGGAATACCGGCCCAGCGTGCTACCGTTACACCACGAAAGCACGCTAGGGAAGTGAGAGAAATACCTTATATACTCCCCTTTTTAAAGGGCGACTAGGGTTTTAGGGGACCTAGTCGCCAAATCCTGGGCGCGGAGAATCATCA